CTCTCCCTCCCTCTCTCCCTCTCTCCCTCCCTCCCTCTCTCCCTCTCCCTCTCCCTCTCCCTCTCTCTAATTAGAAAGTAGGGGCCAGCCCTGGCAGCCTAGTGGTTAAGTTTGGCACACTCTGCTTCTGCGGCCTGGGTTCTACTCCCGGGTGTGGACCTACACCACTTGTCTGTCAGTGGCCCTGCTGTGGTGGCGACTCACGCACAAAAAAAACGAGGAAGATTGGCAATGAATGTTAGCTCAGGGCAAATCTTCCTTAGCAAAAAAACAAAAACAAAAACAAACCCCCAAAACTAAAAAATTCAAGCCTCCTCAATCTCCAGAGGTAACTACTAAGACATGTATTGTAGTCTTCTAGACATTTTTCCTGTGTGTATACATGTATGTACATGTAGGAATGTATATATGTGCTTATAGATATTTTTCACCAAACAGTGTCATATTTTATATACTATTCTGCAATTTGCTCTTTTTCACCCAGCACCTCATGGCATCTCTGCATGACAGCATTGATGGAGCACAGCCTCCCCCTTCACCAGCCGCACAGTGCTCTGATGCACGCTGTACCGAGTCTGTCCAGCCAGTCCGCTCTCAGTGTGGACAGTTAGGTCTAGGTTCTGCCTTTAGAGGCAACGTTGCCATGAACATCCTTGTATGTAAAATTTGGATCTTTTATCTATTTCTCAGGTATGAAACCCCAGGGTTAGAAATGCACTCTTAGATAGCTTTTGATATGCTGTGTTATATTTCAGTCTAATGACAATATATGCAGCAGCTAATATTTATTGAGCTCTTAATATCTGCTAGGTGGTGAGCTTAAAACTCTACATGAATTATTTTTCTTTTATCCCTCAAACAGCCCTGGTAGGTATGTACTGTTGTCATTCCCGTTTTATGGAAATGGCTCAGTGAGGTGAAGTGACTTGCCCGAGATTCTCACGGCCAGAAAATGACTGAGCCAGGGCCTATTCCACATCTGTTTGTTTTCAAGTTCTTATCTCTTTGTAACTGTCACTGTTGGGAATTCCTTGGGCATTTTATCTGGCCTGGTGGTCTGTGTAGTATGGATTTGTATCATGAATCTTGACTGAATTTTTGATTAGAGAGTTGCATGCAAAGGACTGAATATCTGTTGGTGAGATTTCAGGCACCATGGCTGGCAGAGGTGTTTGTGTGTGTGTGTGTGTGTGTGTGTGTGTGTATGTGTGACAGACTGGCAGTCACTGTCTAAGGTGGGCCCACTTCTGATGCTGACCCTTCAACCCTGGCTCCTAAGAGCTCTGCCTTCACCCCCACTGCCCCTTGACTTGAAAAGTCCTTTCCCTCTGGGGAACTGGGGTGTCAGACAGAGGGACACTTTTCAGGATGATGCCTTGGAGAGGGTCCAGAGCTCTTGGGTCACCCTTGGTCCCAGCCTTTCCTTAGTGGATGAGGGGTGAGGGTGGGCTGGGGCAAGGACACCTGGGGGGAGGTCT